TACAGTACTGCGGCAGATGATTCGCGAGGAAGATATGACTGTAAGTAACAATGCAATGTAAATTTCCCTATGGCCCATTTTAAATAACTCAACGCCTTTACATTGTCGTATGGCCCATCTTAAAAAAACATCCTGTATGAGTTTTATATGCAGGAGATGCCTACCATAAAAAGTTTCCTTAAAAAATCTGGTTTTGAAGATATATCCAGTGTTCCAGACAAAATGGTCACCTTGTATATAGAACCACAGACAACATATACTACAGACGGTCAATGCAATGCTATAGAAATAAACGCAACACCTAATAGAGTACGGTTAGTGTGTTGTCTACCTTGCAGCAGTCGAAATAATTTGTTGTAAAATGCGGTAGACGCACAGAAAACTGTTGTGTGTGGTCAAAGTGTGTAATAGATGGAGTCATTTTTGTAAAAATAAAATACATATACTCAAACCTTACTTCCTCGGCTTCAACGCCGGCCTTTACGTAGATAAGATAAGCGCTCACCGCTAACTTGTATAACATCATAAATTACATGAAAAAGGATACTACATTTTAATTCTTCATTTTTCTCTTTTCTAAACATTTAAAAAATTGATGGAGTGAATTTGATTATACAAGGGCGGAAACTAAATTTGGCCTCCACATATAGGTTGGACAAGGAAAGATTTTATTAGAATAATAAACATAATTTTTTTTTTCCATAATAAATATATTATTATACCGGGTGGTGACTTGAACAACGCACCATAGGAATTGCAATAGTAATTTTTTCATTTCTGATTATTGACTTCTGTAATTATTTTAGAGAGAAAGTCTATTTAGGTTTTTTGTAGGGAAAAAAATTACGAATCCATGCATACTATAGCTTTTAATTTTCTGAACTTTGAATCCAAGAAATTGGATAACTAAAAACTGGCGCTTTTAAGAAAATCAGTGGTGCCATGGCAATTTGAGATCAAACATGGCAAATGCAGGCGCTTTTGTTTGATTTCCTAACTCCATGGAATTACCGACTTTATAAACGCGACAGTTTTTAATTTTTAAATTTTTACTGATTCTGAATTTATAAAATACGAAACAAGAGTATGTACGGATTCGTTTATATAATTCGAGGTAAATCTTTCACTCACGCCTTTGACGCTCCCGACGAAGGCGACGACGGGCGACTTCACTTCAGCGCCCCCCAGACTTGGCGTCCAGGGCCTGGGCCCCCCTCGCCCCTCCCCCTCGCACGGCCTTGCCAACCTATATGTATATGTGATTTTTATTATACCATGATCTGTGATAATACCATCACAAAATTTTTTGATTAGGGGAGGGAGCACTTAACGAACTTTATTTATTTTATGTCAATGTGTAGGGTCAACATAGTCCAGCCAATTAGCTCCAAAAGTATTCTAAACTGGATGTTGGCATTTCACACAACGAAACCAAGTGTATTCTAAGTAGTTCCCTGCCCGGATTCTCCCGGAACATATTGCTATACACAAAAAACCAAGAAAAAATGGAAAAATGCAGTTTTTTTCGCATTTGACTTCCAATTATCTCGTCAACTAATACTCGAGCTCATAGAAATGAATTTGTTTCGAATAGAATTTTCAGTTGGTACAGAACCGTTCATTTTTAAATGTTATTGTTTTTTCTGGAAAAATACAAAAAAAGTAATCCCAAAAATTAACATTTGTTTTTGTTGATACGCCCTTCTCGATGCTTTGTCTTTCAAACTGGATGACTCCCAGAGCGTTTTCAATATTTTTATGGATGGTGGAACCGTAAAACAACCTATTCCAACAATTGTCTGTTGTCCCGATGAGTTTTGCAAATCGACGGACTGTGGAATTAGTTTAGTGGAAACCCCAGAAATAGAACAAGAAAGTAACTTTATAATAGGCCCTTGGCATTCTGTTTAATAAAAATCATACCAACTGTATCTGATAGAAAAATCGATTCTAAACAAATCGTTCTCTTCATTTTTTCCGTAAGAGGAATAGTTAACGAGATACCTAATTAAGTTAAATGCGAAAAAACGATATTTTCCCATTTTTTCTTCGTTTTCTTGTGTATAGCAATATGTTCCCGTAGTTTCCGGTCAGCTAGACTATCATTTACGGATTCAGGGGATTTTTTGCATACAATACACATAGTTTCGTTGAGTGAAGTGACAACACACCAAACCGGCAGACTAGACTAGACGGCAGACAGACGGCAGAATAAAAAAGTTAACATTGCGCAGCCTGCGAATGCGCAGTTCAATCGTCAAGATTTTCTTTGACTCAGGTGCCAGAGCGATACGCTACCGAATGCAAAAAGAACGAACTAAATATCTTGAAATCTAGATACAAAACTATAAACCATCTCGAGGATTGCTATTAAAACTTTGCTTTGTGACAATTTTCGTAGGTAATTGCACAAGTGCATCAAAATGCTCTTTTAACAAATTATGAAAATAACCGAACGCAGTTTTTTACTGATAAGATATTTGAATAAACAAGTAAAAAGGTTTTCGCTCTAAGGCGAGTAACTTCAGCGCATTTTCCATAAATTGATCAATACTTCCCCAAATGCCATACCTATGTGCGCTACGTTTTTCATTACTAGACGCATATATGGTTAAAATGTTAAAGAAATATCTTCATAAATAAGGAAGTTGACACTTTACTGCGCAGTTGATATTGCGCGTCCTGCGCATGCCCTTTTTAATCTTATATTCACAATATGCAATACGTTTGCTTTTACTATAAGTATCTTTGGTTAAAATTTCAAAGAAATAAGAAAGTTTGCATTGTGCAGTCTGCGCATGCGCACATCTGATTTTTACTATATGCGATATATTTGCCTTTACTACAAGTATCTGTGATTAAAATTTCAACAAAATATATTAATAAATAAAAAAGTTAACATTGCGCAGCCTGCGAATGCGCAGTTCAATCGTCAAGATTTTCTTTGACTCAGGTGCCAGAGCGATACGCTACCGAATGCAAAAAGAACGAACTAAATATCTTGAAAACTGTAGGAGTAGTTAAGGCCTCGGACAGACCGACGGACAGAGAAAGTGGCTGCAGTAGCGCACCCAATTTCGTTGGAAAATGCGCTAAAAATTATCAGGTTTATTTTGATGCACGAGTGTAATTCGGGGGAATATTTCCCGAATAGACATTACAAACTCACCTTACCTATTTATCAAATTGTTAAGTGTATTCCCATGAAATGTGCAATTAGCGCAGGGCTCTTTCGTTTTCTACAATGCAATTACCGCCGTAATTGACCGATAATTGCACACCTCAAATGGGATTTATTACATATGATGAGGCAAATATTCATTCGAAAATTGCTTATGTTTAGGTTTTCTTTATCGAAGTTAAATGAAGTTAAATTGCTGATTGCAAGATTTATTCCACAAACGGAGAGACAAGTAGGCAAGTAGAGTACGTAGGTATATAAAAAAAACACGGAGATTACACTTTTTTCGAGAATTCGAAAAGTGGTGCAAGTTATATCGTTTCTTATGCACCCAAAGACAACGAGTAATACGTAATTGCGAATATAAAGTGATATTTGCTTTGTATGTGTACCTGCAAAGATTATCAGCACTTCGCCCAGATGTAAATATGGGGATTTCTTGCGAGAGTGGGACAGCTTTCTAACAATAAAGTATCAATACTTCTTTCCCTAGACAATTTGCAAAACCATTCCAAAATAAGAAATCTGTAGAAGAACCAACACATTGTTGTATGCGCTAATAGATGGAGCAAAATAGAGGGATAGCAGGTTTTTAAATAAGGGGACATTTGACACAAAACTTAGCGTGCTTTTTCCCCTTAAGATTTCTGTAGTATATGTTGTCCTCTTTTAACTGGGTCACTGGTCACCTGGGTCACTAAATTAAACTGGGTCGCTGGGTCACGTCATACTCTTTTCAGTTAGACCCAGTGACCCAGTTGACCCAGTGACTCAGTTTGACCCAGTGACCCAGTTTAACCCAGTGACCCAGTTTGACCCAGTGACGCAATTTCACCCGGGGACCCAATTCGACCCAGTCACCTAGTTTGATTGAATAACGCAGTTAAGTCAGTGCCCTCGGTTCAAGTGTACAGATTATGCAATAAATGAAATGCTGGTTTGTTGAAAATAATCCTCGATTGCTTGACAACTGCCATTTCTGTGATGTTTGCTTTAATACTGCCGTAAAAAACTTTCCATGTCCCGAATTGTATTAGAATAATGTTATTTCTTTGCTTCAAGGCTTACCAGTTTGCTTACAGGTGTTCATTCACATTTAATTTTTTTCTACTAGTTAGCTTAATCCAAATAAATCTTTTCTGTAAATACTTTCATTGAATACTTGACTACAAACTATAAACAAATGCATTTGATTTTTTTAGGTATTAGTTCTCTTGAATGAAATTGGGCTACGTGCTTGTTGCCGAATATTATTGAGGAAGTTTTTTTTAAAATTAAAAGTTACTTGAAATTGTTTTGGATGATACCTAACAATAATTTAATTACTGGGCCACCGGGTCAAGATGGGTCACTGAGTAAAGCTGGGTCAAGATGAGTCACTGGGTCAAGCTGGGTCACCGGGTCAAGCTGGGCCACAGGGTCAAACTGGGTCACCGGGTCAAGCTGGGTCACCGGGTCAAGCTGGGTCACCGGGTCAAACTGGGTCACCGGGTCAAACTGGGTCACTGGGTCAACTGGGTCACCGGGTCACCGGGTCACCGGGTCACTGGGTCAGTAAACTAACTGGGTCACCGGGTCACTGGGTCACTCTATGCTTGACCCAGTCCAACTCTGCAACGAACTTCATTTTTTTAAATACGGTACTGATATTTCGATATATTTGGCGGTTGTGCTCGTCTCGTCTGTCAAATCCTACTCGGTGCTACTGATCTTGCACAGATCTTGAACTTATTTATGTAATACACGTACAGTAGTACGAAAATGGAACTGTCGAAGTTTTCAAGTTTCTCAATATATCAAAGATGATTTATTAGCAAATACAATTTTTTTTAAGTAACGGGACATGCGTATATCTTTTTACAAAAATTACAAACAATGTGCAGCTAAATTAGTCGCCAACTTTCTTCGAGCTTGTTGCCACTTGCGCAAATCATGGTCCAACTGCCTTCTCTCCTGCTCTTCAATTTTATCCAACTCGTCTAAATTAATAGTTGAAAGATTCGGACGTCCGCGACACGACGGAATACTGGAATTGGACGAACACGGGGGCATCTGCGAAGTAATTTTTTCTGTCGTTACAGTTTTTGTCGATGTCGTAGATCTGGTTTTCTTTAGCGGAACGTGGCCCCCTTCGCCGACAATTTCTTCTTTAAATTTTTCAGTCGACGTGATAATTTTTTCGGTGGAAACGCACCTCGTGGGTAAAGTGCTCCATGATGTGCAAGTTAAGTCCTTTGTGCAGCCTGTGGTTGTACTCGGCGTCGCACGATTCGAATTCATCGACGAGTTACTTCCTTTATCAGATCTTGCTACATTGCTATAACTTTCAAAAGGCAAAGACTTGAAACTGTCCTGGGTGGATTGAGGAGTGCTCGACTTAACTAAATTATTTATTATTTCTTGCTCACTCAGTAAATTATTTTTCGCATTACGAACAGGCGATCGGGTCTTCCCCGCATTACCTCCCAACGCTCCATCTGGTTCGATCGTGTCGGTCGCCAAACTTTGAAATACTTCTTGCTGTCGCGTTTGGTTTCGTAAGTCATTAGCCCAATCTTGTGCGCCTGACTGGTTTGGGGAGCGCATCTGCTGTGCAAAGGTCTGATTTGGAGCATCCCTCAGGTAATTGGAATTAGCAAAACGTGGACTTGTGGGTGAAGTAATTATAGGTGGCGCAAATTTAGAATAGTCCAATATTCCGTCTTGAGGTGTGTCGGTCATTGTCTCTATTTTGATTGGACTAGGACTGAAGGACGTTAGTAATGAAGGAAACGTATCATTTTGTTTTTGGAAGGCCGGAGGTGTGTTATTCCCAATGTTCCAGCCTTTAGGTGGATCAGCGTATGGTGCGCTCTCCATACTTACAGGCCGGTAAGCAGAATTATGTATGAACCCTTTTTTTGGGCTAATTGAATTGTTTATTGATGTGTTTGGATATTTTCTTGGGGTACTTGTGATTAGAGGGGAGAAACTTGTGTCCGTATTATTGTTTCTTCTTTGACTTGAATCATTTACCGGCCCTGTTGGCACAATAATATTAATTGGCTGAGTTGTTAATATGTCATAAGGTGATAAAATGTGTTGGATTTGCCCTATTCTCGAAGTTAGTTTGGATTGTTTTGAGTATTGAGTAATACTATCCTTTGACGAAATACTAGTAGCTTTATCACAGAAGGATTTTCTTTCGCCCCTTGAACGAGAAGCAGTCCGTTTGAATGGAGCAGTTTTACAGGGGCCTGTTGAATATAATCTGCCAATTTCGTTGAAAGTAACCCTTGGTATGCTATCTAGTAACAATTGAAGGGAGTCTGACCTATCAATGTGCGGAACTGCGGAAGTTGATGTTTTCGGAAACATACCACAAATTATCTTGTTAAAATTATGAGTTTTCAGAAAATTCTTGCTTTTGGGTTGATTATTCGGAGCAAGAGGTGTTTTTAGGAAATTTGGAACGTAATCAACAAGCACATAATACAGCAGATGGCAATTATTATTGTTTTCTAGGACTTTGAAACTGTGATTAGAAGAATCTGTTGCACAAATGTGACGATTTTGCAAAGAGGCATTACCGAAACTATTTAAATAATAAGCAAAAGTAGCATTAGTTCTTCCGATAGCTGTACCTGCAGTAGTATTTCCTCTAGGATTATTTAAATATCCGTATGGATCAGTCCAATGTTGCGGTATTCTAGGGGCGTTTTCATCTACTTTTCTACAAATTAAAACTTTTCCACTTTGCAGGTGCTCTGGAATACGGATTACGGCCGTTTGATTTGATTGAATAGAACCTTTAGGTATTATTATCTTTCGGTATGTTCTTCCATCCAAATGTTCGTTATTATTTTGAAGCGCATGACGCTGTTGATCATTTTCGTTATACCAATTTCGTTGATTGGACTGTTGTTGCGAACCACAGGTGAAGTATGAGGGTCCTCGACTAAAATTTTGTGGGTTCATTTTAATACTAATGTTTAGCACATGTTAATACAATTAATTTTGTAACCCTTATTTGACATTTGACACATTACATGTTTGACGGTCCCCTTAATTTACCTTACATCTTATGATCTATTATATATATTATATGTATACCTATAAGACACAATGCTTGTCCATATTTTCGGAGGCAGTCTGTGGAAGACACCCAACAAGATTAAGCCTCACGTCACTGCGTTAAGTTCAACGCCTGATCAGTGAGAAAAATTTACACGTGAAGCCGTAGAGGGTAATTCCGCGGAAACCATTATCAATCTCGCTTAAAACAATAAAACAAAGTTTTTAGTTAGTCACCCGAAGTAGTCTACCGTCCGGGAAAGACACCCAATCGAGCACCCATTTTTGTCTTCAATTTCAAAAAGCCTCATTTTGTCATTACGTTCAATGTGAGTTTCCTGAAACTGCCAGTGAGTGTTTTTCTATGAATTAAGTGCGCTTAGTATCCCAAACCTTTTACGACCAGATTGGTTAGATTATTTAATAACTGTGAGTAGGTAATTAATATTTTTATTTATTTGCCTGTCGAACGCCGGCATGCGTGGTATGGGCAGAAACAAGCTGTGGATGCTTTTGTTTCTCCCAGCATTATTCTTATAGTTTTGTTTTGTTTTGCGGAATAAAATTTGTCTATCAATTAATTGTGTGTTTATTCGAATCCAAAGCCGGATAGAGTTTTCATGTCAGGTTTTCAGGTGCCCACGATTTATTTCAGGTGTTTCACTATTGGGATTTTTCGTGTACGAAACGAAATTATATATTTTTTTCTACAATCGATATCCAAAGTAGGCATTTTGCGCTCCTATTTGACAACGCAAACGTCATCTTTTTCGAGGAATGTCATAAGCGACAAAATAAAAAAACGCCCGCTCTCCCAATTATTAACTATAAATCAAATATGCATTGCTCAGAGTATCCAATGACAACCAGTAAATTACATCTTTCATTTGGGCATAAGATTAAAATAATCTATGATTTGAGCAGGGGTTGGAACCGAAACCGAAAAGAACCGGTACCGGAACCGATTGCAATAAAATGCCCCACACTGGGAACCGGAATTATTTAAGAAGTTATGATATCCGGAACCGATACCGGTACCGTTATTATTAGTGCCAAAGAACCGGTATTTTTCGGTTCTATCTCTCTTAGAATAGGCACGTTGCGCTATGTGTGGGGGAATTGCGTTTTATATGCTCCTAAAGTTTGATTTTGATGCGTTTTCTTAGATTTAATATTATTCATTTTGTTTATATACAGGATGTTCAGCGAGGAATGGGACAGCGCGATATTATGGGAACGAATATAGGGCTTGAAATTCTTAAAACTTTGTTATATGTAGGTAAATGTAAGCTAGGGCCATATATCTTATTTACGTAAACGAGACAGGTTGGGAGCACATTTATAAGTAATCACAAATATCTTGTACTAAATTCCAAAAATCGAATTAAAAGTATTATTCCTTTTAAAAGAATTCAGTTAGGTAGCGCCACCTGGCGATGGCCCATTTAATTTATTATATTTGGTCCTCCATATAGCCTTAGCTTACATTGATAACAAAATTGTAATAATTTTAAAATCTGCATTAGTTTCCGAGATATAAAATTTCAAAACCCAAATATCCAAATTCACCCTTTTATTCAGAGTTATCCACTCATTTCTAACAACTTAACCATAATATTAAACAAATATAAAATATTTTAGAGTGACTAATGCCGAAAAGGAAAGTAGAAAGAGACAGGCAGTTGACAGAGGTGAAGCGAACTAAAAATAAGTTTTAACTAAGCCTAAACAATATGTATGTAAAAGAATAATGTACTTTATGTGTGTGTATTATTTATTTTCTATAATTAATAATTTATGTTTTTTTAATATGATGTAATTTACTTATGCTGGCACCCTTAAAAACCGAAAAATAATTGGAACCGGAACCGAAGATTAGTGAAGCCACAGAACCGGAACCGGTACCGAAACCCTTAACAATAATTCTACCTAAATAGGTCGGAACCGGAATCTATATTTTGTATGGGTTCCAACCCCTGGATTTGAGTGATGAAAGATGTACATTTTTGGAAATATGTGAACTGCTCGATTATAGAAAAAATGTTGTGTGTAATTCGAGCGCAAATTGATTGTCGATTTCAAGAGATAGCCGCGGCAACTTTCTCGTTCAATCGACAATATCGTTGGTCTAGCGCACACAGGTGTTAAGTGATTTCTTTGCAACATGAGTTTAATACATTAGGCAATGAAGAAGTTAAGGATTTATTCAAATTTTTTCAATTGTATTATCAAACAGTTGTGTACAGTTTACAAAAAAAAAATAATTCATTCAAAAACAAAACTTATTTTAATTGATACAGCAGTTTTATTTATTTTTGAAACTATAGAAGCGACGTTAACTGATTCAGGTAAAATAGAAAAGTCACTTCCAACCAACTTTGGTGTTAGTTACAACCAAGTTTAATAATCGTGAGCTAGCCGATAGTAAAAATTCTTTTTGTGAAAAGTTAACATTTCAAATTCAATTTATTTATTCAATTTTAATCTTACGTACTAAATTTTTCAATAGCCGTTTCACTGTACTTTATTATGAATGATTAGTCTAATTGCATACAACAAAAATGCAAGCAGAGCGCACTTAATCCGCATACCGACCAAAACTCCCCATTAAAAAATCATAGTTGAACATATTAATTAATATCAGCGGCGCCCTCATTCGTCGTTATTCAGTACGGATCGTTAAACTTACCCTAAGACATCGTTACGTTTGACACTTTTACTGGGGTTTCTAGGTCAAGCACTACCTATTTGAATTTGGGCGAAAAAACAAGTGTTCTGCCAAAAACAAAACAAAAGCGCTATTTATATAACTGATTGTACATTTCGGAAAAAAATGTTACATTTGGTTATCTGCCCTCGAAGTGGTCACTTTTAAGTTACTGCAATGGGACGGTACTCCATCACTTCCACTGCCGTTCTTGCAGTATGTTAAAGGTAAATGCCCACCACTTGAGTCGACATAACTCCATTAGCTTCTTGGCATTTGAAAAACTCTTCAGCAAGAGATTCAGAAGTTCAATAGGTAACGCTGAAAATGTATTCCGACAGCTGCAACCATCCTACGATTATTAGATTGATATTTACCTTCAGTGCGTTGCAGTCCGTCACCACAAAAAAAATTCAACCCCAGGAGATACAGTTTAAATTTCTTGACCGATTTCATATCTGCCAACGTTTGAAGCTCATACGAGGAAAATCTTTGTTCTCTTACTTGTGGTCTAATAGTGGCGTCAACTTCAATTCTGGCGTTTGGACTGTACAGTGAAGTCGCAAACCCAACTGTTCTTCTGCTTCTGCAAGCCGTCTCCGTTTGTTTCAAAAAATATTCGCAACTCGAAAACGTGACCACGGTTTAAATTTTCTGAGATTGTGAAGGAAACGGACAGCCATTTGCCTGCACGGGTGCAGTTCCGGTTCAGATCTGTGTTTGGGAGCTGTGAGATGCTAACCGTCGCTGACGTTTATAATGTAGGCTGAAGGCCTGAACAACTGGACGTGTGGGAAAATTGAAACCGACACATTATTAGCTATCCATGGTTTATAGATTGAGATTGTTTTTGGTCCGTCCATTGTGTAATATTACCTTATTTATCGTATCAAAATTTGATACTTACTCTGGCGTTTTACAAATTGAAAAAATAACTCTTTTTGTTCACATCCCCCTATAGGAGCGAACTATATAATTGCTTTTTGTTGTGTACCTCATGATGTCATGAGAATTATAAGTACACGGTACCACTGAGAACACAGAGTTTTACATTCAATGGTTCCAAGCATTAATGACATAGGTACCCTCATTTTTGTGTTATAGATCATTTGCATATGAGATAATTTCGCAATGTTCAGTCATAATAGGTATGTAAATCTCCGTTCGCACGCTAATACCTAAAGTGGGAAACTAAAAGAGACGTGCTAGTTTGGGATAGCGCAGAATTTACGCAACAACTAAGAAGATATGTCGTTATCATCAAATTCGTTACATTTATTTTACTCGATTCCCATCGCTTTGGTGATATTTGCAGTGCGATACTGTCTAGAACGGTAAGAGTAATTGCCCAATTTTTTTTTTACTCAGACAGCGTTTCTTACAGATGTTTCAATCCCATTGGCAAAGCGTTGGGTATTAAACAGGGCAGAGGAAAAGCGGCCCAAAATAATTTGTTGGAAACGTCGTACGCGCCAGGCCAAAAATTAGGACACGAAGAAGTAGGTACTAGCAAAGCTTGGCCTGGTATGGTAAATTTTTTTACAGATTTTGGGTTTGGCTAAACAATTAGACTGGAGCGAGCGCGAAGTCGAACGCTGGTTGAGATTGCGCAAGAATCAAGATAAACCATCAACGTTAGATAAATTCTGCGAAAGCTCATGGCGTGTATGCTATTACTTTTGTTTTTTCATCTTGGGCGTTTTTGTATTGCACAGACAGTCTTGGTTGTTGGATATTAATGAGTGTTGGTGAGTTACAACGGCCTCATGTAACTTAGTTACCAACATTTCAATAAAATCCAGGAATGGGTACCCAAATCAGAATCTAGACGACGACATCTGGTGGTACATTATAATAGCGCAATCTTACTATGTATCTCTGTTGATTAGTCAATTCTTCGACATTAAAAGAAAGGACTTTTGGCAAATGTTTGCTCACCACATTATAACTATCACATTAATGACATTTGCTTGGATTCTTCGTTTGCAGAGAATAACTAGTTTAATTTTGTTGGTCCACGAGTTTGCCGATATATTTTTAGATACTGCAAAGATTCTAAATTACGCAAGGTGCAAAAAGCTATGTGACGTAATATTTATGGTATTTACAGCGCTCTGGATCATTACGCGATTAGGTGTTTACCCGCTTTGGATCATACGAAGGTAATCATATTGGAGGTTGATCTACAAATTTAGACAAATTCCCTTTTTTAGCACAATATGGGACGCTCCAAAGTTTCTAGATTTAACATCTTCCTTATATAATTATTACGTCTTTCTTAACGGTTTATTATTGTTAATACTTTCACTGGATATATATTGGACTTATATGCTAAGCAAGGTCATATGTAAATTTTGGAACTCTGGACATGTTCAACGCGATTCTAGATCAAGCAGTTCTGAAAATACAGACTAGTCTAAATAGTGCTCTCGTCTCGTTTAACAATGCAGCCGAATCCTTCAAAACTTTCTAGGTATTTTTTCTTTTGAAAAATTATAAAAAAGGGAGCGAGTATTTTGATATGTGCAACAAACGTAGAACAGAATGTTTTTTTTTAATTTAATATACATATTCATGAATTCAGTAAGTTTTATGTTTTATTGTCGACCCGATTGAGGAGTGAAGGGGTCAGTTGCGGTTTGCTAATTGTTCGTAACTTGCATGACTTCGGCGAGACCGATAAAACAAATAAATCTCAAAAGACAACTTCTTATGTCAAAAAAATACTAGAAAATATTTATAAAGGCACGTACAGACCTGACGCGACACGCACGCGACGCGCCGGTCGCGCGCATGCTACGCGCACGCGGTTCTCTCGCGCGCCTGCTGGGAGCCATGTGGAGAGACGCCCCCGCCACACGCAAAGCGTATCGCAAATCAAGTTAAATCAGTTGTTACATACATGTCGAACGAGGAGAAAGCTGCAGCATGTTTAATAGGCGGTGGTGCGATGCTTCTTGCATCCCATTTGTTACAAAGAAAACAAAAACGTAGATGGTGGCGCTGCGAACTGTATAGAAAACGGGTTTGGATTTATATAGCTCGATCAGTTATCGTTGCATTTGTCAGTTTTGTATTTTGTTTTGTTTTTGCATTATAGATACTGTTAAAAATAACCAGAAAATCCTCGAACAATTCCATGTTTTATTTCACAGAAAATATGTGAATTTATAGGTTAGGGCACTGAATAACCCCTAGCAAAACAGCTGCCACATCCGTCCTATAGCTGCAACTGCGCATGACTTTCACGCAACGAGTGGTCTAGACCAGTCGTTGCGTTCGATTAACTTATCGCTCGATGTGGTAGGTTCGAGAATGCAGTCACATTCACATTCACATCAAGGTTAGTCGGTGTGAACAAAGCACATCTTCGGGAATCGACGCCCTGCCATTTTTACAATGGATTGGTCGGACTATCCGCGATCGCTACGTTCTTACCACAATCCGTCCACACTGCGCCACGCTCTTTCTTTGATCTGTTGTCGAAAAACCGACAGTAAATGGATAGCGGCGAGCTTCGGAATGTCATGTCTGTACGCGGCTTAACACCGCAGTTACTACGTTGAGATAACTACGGCGCTAAATTTAAAGGAAATTATTCCGTTTAAATGGGAAATCCATTAATGTTTACTAGCGAAATGCATTCGTAATTTAACTGCTAACCGTACATACACAAATAATCAGCATCTTTTGTTTCACTTTGTAGGCTTGGTGCACGTAGAGGGGAAATGCGAAGGTTCGAAATTCCCCAATAGGTACTTACCTACGTAAGAGAGATGAGGCGTCGGGATGTGATTTGCCGACGGTCTTCCGCTCTGTTCTTGCACCGAAAGTGCTTTCTATTGTTGATTTGGTGCTTACGATGTTAAACCTTGTTCTCGTAAAGTGATCGGCGTCGGAGGACTGCTAACCTTTGAAGGAAGGGAATTAATTTCTACCAACCACAGCCCTCCTCCTCGACCACTTATCGTGATCGGATGTATTCGCTTATATCTCCAGAACGGATTGTCGGAAGAGAGTACTCACAGGGGGTTTTGGCGTGGAAGAAATTTGCATATGCTAGGTTTGTGGTTTTCCTCACATGAGGCACAGATTTGAAGACGGATAAGGCATTCTGAGGGGAGGTGGCCGATTTTGGTGCACATGGATAGTGCCTGCTAAACATGCAGACACCGTGTTGGAAGAGATGTTCTAGGATGGCAATGGTGCGGACGAGGGTTGTGCGAAGGTTGGTTACACGGAAAACGATGCGCAGGGCGCGGATAATTTTGGGCAAGGGTATAGATTGAAGGACTCCAGATTCTAACAAAAGGGGAAGGATGGAGGTTTAGGAGTGTGGGGGATTTATGTAGGGTCGAGGAATATGATAGGGCAGCGGTAGGTTGTTGGGTTGGTCTAGCTTTAAGAGATTGAGGAAGGGGTTGTTGTGGGTGTTTGTGTTGGGGCGATCGGCGGACAAGGGGCGAGTGGTCGTGTTCCCGCAGGACGGGGTGTAGATGTGCCATGGCGAACCATATGACAAGGTTCTATTAAATTGACTAAAGCTTAATTTTTTTAATTTTTGAATTATTTTTAAATTTTTTAATTTTTTACTTCAGCTCAGTTTCGACCACCCGACCTCCGGCTATGTAGCCCGACGCTACACAGTCTGTAATTGTTATGGAAATGTAAAATAAATTTAATTTCACCTTTCACGGAGCGGCTATACCGGGTGGTGCCTAGCGCGACGCAGCATAAGGATTTCATGGTAATTTCTTTATAGTCAATTACTAGCTCCCCTAATTATTTTAGAGCAAAAGTCTAAATAAAAATACTGCATCTGTTCATACTATCTCTATATATAAAAATGAACCCCGATTTCTTTTGGTCACGCAATAACTTTAGAACGACTTGACCGATTCCATTCATCTTTTTTTTTAAGTTTTCTAATACTGTGTAGAAGGTTCTTACGGCAAGAAAAACTAAGAAAATCGCGCAGAAAGTTGGAAAATTGGAGAAAACTTAACGACTATTTAAACATCGCGCGTTTGACGGTGCGACGGCAATTGTTTTAACAGCTACATCGATCGGCATATATCCGTCAAAAAATTGATTTGTTCATATCATAGTGTGCTGTCAATTCCATCGGATAGTTTATCTAGATTTCAGTGATTTTTGAGAAGTTTCGAGGTTATTTCACCGCAATCACGCCTTTTATATTAAAAGTTTGATGTCTGTGAAGTTGGCCTGGATAAAATAGCCCGGCAGCATCGCACCATGCTAGATCGTTAGTGCTTTGTTAGTGCTCGTTAGTGCTTCACAAGTTAACATAAGGGCTCAAACCGTTTTCTCAAAATAAAAATTTTTTTTTGTTCGGGTCAACTTCACGTTTGCCCGGACAATGACTCCAATTTGCATCAAATTTTGTAGATCGTTAGTGCTTTGTTAGTGCTTATTAGTGCTTCATAATTCAACGTTAGGACTCAAACCGTTTTCTCNCAAGCAACACAGCGTAATATCTGACAGACTGTCAGTGGGCTCCAAAATGGCGGACGAGTCTGCTTTCTTAATCAAGTGCTGTAGTGCAGCCTGAATATGTCTATAGCCTTAGACTAGAAAAGAGAGAGGACAAGTAATATTTTCAATAAAACTGTGACCATTTGTCACCAAGACATGCCTGCCAGTGTCGTAACATACAAACAGCATTGTTGGGTGATAAAAATTATTCCTTTTATAGGACGAAGACGAATGTATATAAAATTTATTAAAACAGTAGTAGAATTAATTATTTTGCTAATTGTAATAGTTGAGAATTATATATTCAAAATAATTCAAATTGGCCAATAGAAAGCCTTTAGAATGACGCGGTACACTCCGTGCTCCGAGAAAGTTCCATTAAGTGATTTCAAATGATGAAAACTATTAACAACATATTTTGCTACATATCATGTAAGGCAAGTACTAAATAAAAACGCAAAACGTAAAAATTATGAAAGAGACGGTTTGCTCTAAAATTTACCAAACAAATTTTTGCCTTTGAAACGAAATTCCGGCGCTATAGCATTGGACCGCAAGACAGTAGACCGTAAAGGGAATAGGCCGCAAACGATAGGCCGTGGACATTAGGACGCAGACATTGAGACGCGGACAACGGGACGCAGACATTGGGATGCGGACATTAGAACGCAAGCATCATGTAGATCGCCATACAAAGTAGAGATTAGATCGCAGGTAGGACAATAAAAGGTATAACAAGTAAACCAATGTTATTGTACTTATTACATCTGTGTATGCGCTACAAGGTCTAGTCCTAGCCTAGGATCTGTGTCCTAATGTCCGCGCCCCATCAGTGTCTGCGTCCTAATGTCCGCGTCCAAATGCCTGCGCCCTAATGTTCGTTTTTATGTTCGGCGGTGTTTTGCCCCCCCCCCCCCCCCCC